ATTTGTAGTCATGAAGGATGCATTTGTTCCATTCTGAAATCTCCCCTGCCGCTTGGTTGTGACTGGTGTATAAGAGAAAAGGTGAATTCTTAGTAGTGGTTTGGTTGCATTTGATGATTGCCAGGCATTAAGTTATAGCTGAAATATTTTGACTCGTTAACATGCTTTACAAACAAAGATTATTTCAGTGCTTTTCTCTGATTAAAAATGGCAAAAATTCTAAATTCTGAGGATCGTAAAGTTGTTTTTTTTCCCTAAAGATCCCTTTTATAGGCATGAATTCTCATTGCTGTATATTTCTGCATCATTAGTTTTGTTTAGCAAAATTTTACCAATTTAATTGGTAAAACCAAAATTCTTATGCTTTTGTACCTCATTTCGGACTATGTGTGAAGTCTAATGAGTGATCTCTTGGTATTAGTGAAATATTTGAATAACTGCCTTTTATCCTTGAAGAAAGATCAACTCACATTTCTTGGTTTTTTGGTTTTTTTTCTTTTCTAGCCTCACTAACAGCACCAAAACTTCCCCAAAACAATTCCCCGGGCAGTGCAGTTGAATAAACACTTTCAAAACTTCCCCAAAACAATTTCCCGGGCAGTGCAGTTGAATAAACACTTTATATGCCAGGAAAGCTGCAAAACCATCCTTATTAAGGGAGCTTTGCCACTTTGCTTTTCAGATATATAAGTGCATGCTTCGGAGAGTTAACTTAACTGTGGTTTGAATTACAAGGTCTACTTACTGTTTGTTGGCTTCTTTTCTGGAAGTGGGCAGAAAGCACCTCGAGGGTATATAGTTGAGAGAAGCTGTAGTTTAGCTGCTGAAATCAAACCTTTTTGATTTTTACAGCATTGGTGTTCATTTCTACAGTTAAGAGCTGTTAGTCCTTTTCTGGTACCTTTGGGTATGTGTGGTACGCAATTCACTCTCCTCTTGGAAAATCGTTCCGTATAGTCGCCATGCGTATTTCTAGCAGCAGGAAAACTTAATCAGTACAACGATTCTGATTTTTAGATGCATTGGGGAACCAGGTGACATTGTTTCTTTAAGCGTACGTTTTTATTTGGAACATTTCTTTCCTGTCCCGAAGTGCTACGTGGTTGTTTACTGATGGACAGAAATAACATCTCTTACGTCATGAAGATTCTGCAGTCGTTGGGATGTGATGAAACCTGGTACAGGCTTAGCGAAGCCGAGGTGTGAGGATTAAAGCAGTACATGCAAGCACTTGCTCAGATCAGCTGGGACCTATTTGATCTCCTGTCTTTGGTTTGTCTTTTGGTTTGACTACCTCCCTTTCAGTGGGCGTAGAGATGTTTTGAGATCTTTTGTGTGTCGCGTGGGAAATAGGAACATCTTGTATTTGGGAATAGGCTAGGACAGGGCACTGAGACTGTGACAGAAATAGGCTAGTGAGTTGCAAAAGCTGATTTGCTGGGAGCAGAAAGTTGAGGATCTTAAAGATGGCAAAAGAGGCAGGGCTTCTGGTTTACTGCAGCTTTCCCTGCTCTAGTAAAGCAGGGTGAAACACATGAAACAAGTATTTCCCATCAACAAACCTGAGGGCTGTGCACCTGCTTTAGACCACTAACTCTGGCATGCTTTAGGCTACTATCTCTGATCCCGCACACGAATATACATCTGCAAGGTGTAACGTAGGGTTTTTTAGGCTGTTCTTTATTTGTGGATGCGGTATCTGTTCGTAAGTTTTGTGTAGGTAAGTGTTGTGTGTGATCCTTAGTCCACAAAGCATTTGATGCTTAGGTATAAATACTATGGTGACATGAATGAGTAGACGGAATTCAAGTATATTGTGTGGACAGTAAAATTCAACTATTGGAGCTGAACAATACCTACAGTTAATATATCTTCTGTGTCTTCTGTTGCGTGGAGAATTATATATATATTGCAGTAGTCTCATAACTGTGTGGGAAGCTTTATGTTAGGATTTTGTGGGACGTTTTAATGTCTCACAGGTGAAAGATGGTCTGAAACCTACAGTTCTTGGATGCAAATAGGAATCAGCCAAAAACCTCAGTGCAGCAGCTTTGCATCTCATATCTTCTCATCTTTACAGTGATACTGTCTGCTTTGCTTGAAAGGAAAACAATGTCCGTTTGTTTTAGTTCATAAAGCAGCAACCTCTAAAAGTAACCAAAGTGCTGTTATATATGGAAATGAAATTTTGTTAGGTTTTCAAATGTATACCATCACTTCTTAATTTATTTTCATATGGTTGTGTTAAAGACCCAACCTAGAGACCAGATCTCAGATGGCATGGTAAAATTGTCTGCATGACCATCTCCAATTCTTACACTTTAAAGTACTCATTTAAAAAAAAAAGTATATATAATTATATTATTCAGGGTGTCTGCGGACTTAGCCAGCCAATCATGGCGAGGATAGTTTTGGAAGAGGGAGCTGGCTATACTGGACGGATTAGCAAAATGTCAGCATTGGCACTTAAGTTGTGAGACTAGTAGGAGATTTAATACTTAATGGAACTATAATTACTTGTCTAAAATTATTTAAATAGGAGGCTTAGAGAGCGTGACAATTTTTTTCTGCAAGTTCAACAGTACACATACTGTACCTTGAGTTATGAGCTCAGACACAGCATGTATGTATTGCTGAATGGCTTTTAACTTGAAGAGGAAAAATGATGTTCTTGTAAACGTTGTTAATAATTAATATTAAAATCTTTTAGAAGGGACAGTAAACTCGGGATTTATATCTACCCCTAGCTGTTTGAGGTTGGAATGAGTCCTGATGTGCAAAACAAACTCCCTTGTGTTTGCTCTGAAGCGTCTGCTTCTGCATCATGGAGCCAAGTTCTGGGACTAAACAGATGTTGGGTTTAATAGAGCATGACAGTTGTAGACCAGGCTATGATTCTCTAGGGGTGTTCCCAGCTTATTTAGAAAGAAAGAGTTGTTGTTGGTAGAGGTAATAATACTGTATTAAACCAAATGACTAGCTAATAAATTGTGTCTGTATTTTTTTGAGCAAATAATTAGATTAATTGCTTTTCAAGAGAAGACAACTTCTTTTTTTAATGAACCATGCATTTATTTAGTGTATTTCAAGAAAAAAATTTTTAGATTTCATTGGTAATTTACTGCTGGGGTTAGGACTGACTTTTCTGTAGTGCAAGGGGATTTCCTACTATTTGGTGTTTCTTCTGGCTATCCCACTTCAGCATGTGAGGAAGCAGAATCTGTTTAACCTTGTGTTCAGAAGTGACTTTGGGATCCCCTGGAGCTGCCTTTCTGTGCAGCGGGGGCTGTTATGAAAGTCAAGTTTAGGGCAAATCATGTGTAAGTGAGGATTAGGTACTATTTAAAAAATACTGTGGTAATTGTGTTCCAAATACTGACCAACCTTTTATGTCATCTAAAGACTTGAACCTCTACTGCCTTAACCAGCATACAGTGTTAGAGAGACAGCAGTAGTGCCTCTTAATCAAAAGCAATTTGCAAATTTAAGTGGTTACATGTTTTATTTGAGTGATCTTTTCAGCTAAAGGCAGCTGTTTCTAAAAGAAACATGTCTGCTGCGTAATGGCATGTTTGAAAATGATTTAAGGTGGTGACTGGAATTTAATACTATTTAATAGCATCTGTCTTGGAAATGTGTTGGAGATCATGGATGGCATGTAACCATCGAAGTTAAAGCATTGGGGTTAATCTGTTACCGTTGTTAAAATGCCAGGAAATTAAATGTTCTTTTTTTTCTTAATTTTAAATTATTTTTAGACATTCGTCCTGTAGGATATTCATGAACTCTGAAGGAAAGACTTGTTTCCTCTGTCACCTGATGGCTGGAGTTGCTCAGAAACGTCTTTCTTATTTAAAGCTGGGCCTATGGCTGTTCAGGTTGCAGGGGCTGAAGGTGCTCAGGCTGCATCATAAAGTCATCGCAGAGCACTTCAGCAAGTTTTGAGATAACACAAGTTCCTGATGGAAGGATTTAGCTTTGTTACATCTGTTGTATGTTGTTTATAAGTATGGTCGTCTACAGTGAGTATCAGTAGAACTTGCTGAGATTTTTACTTTAGAGGAGCATAGTGAATGTAACGTTCTTAGGAGAGGAAAAAAAACTCCTGGGGTATAATAGAGAGAGAAAAATGTGCATGTTTATTTGATTGCTCTAAGATTTGTTGGCTCACAAATGAGTAGAAGGCAAAGCTCGCCAAGTCCACATATCTACTAACTAGCTCTACAAGGATTTAGAGCTCAAGCTAGCAATTGGATTCTTTTGACAGATCTCAATGGCTTGATGTTTATTTCATTTAGAGGGGGAAAAAAAATCGGCTAGTACCTTATTTTTCTGTCACTTTGAGGAAGCGCTGAGGAATAAAAAAATGTTCTCTGCAGTTTGGAAGAAGCCAGATGGGTGCTAGGGCACAGGGAGAGCTCACAAGGGATTCTAGCCAGCAACTCGCCCTGTTGCTCGAGAGTGTGGCTTTGGCCACAGAAGTGGGCATGTTCTTGGGCAATGTGAATTTGATGCTGACTCTGAAAATAGACAATAAATATTTTGCTAAAACTTGCTTTTAAAGCACTGTTTACTTTGGAGGATTTGTTTTAATGGAATTTAATCTACTGGGATACTGCAGGAAATCTGGAAAGTATGCAGCCTCTTTTCAAGAACTAGCTTGCAACCTGCTCCCATCGCTGTCCTATTGCTGGGAAATGGGTTAAATGGGGGGCTTTGGGAGCCGCAGCAAGCTGTGAGACTAGCTTGTGAAATAGAGAATAAAGTGGAGTTACTCACCTTAGGAGGATGGGCTAAGGATTTAGGGCACGGTCAGAGCGCTGGCACGGGGAACTCAAGAGTTATAGGTTAAGGTGGTGGAATTTGAAGGCAGGGCTCCAGCTACCTCTTGTTTATCTTCTCCCTTAGGTGTTCATCTTGGAGCAAGCGAGCTGCTCCTTACGTGAGCTGGAAGGCACGAGCAGGGGACGGGAACTTGAGGCAGACACGGGCTTGAACTGTCTGTACTCCAAGAAATAAAGGTTTAAATATATGACCTTTAAGTCATTTAAAGGTGCAGGCAAGGGACTCGAGCCAAAATACGGGTCCAGGGCCAAGAGCATTGGTTTTGGCTTCTGCAGTAGTTGGGCATGTGCAAACCAGGGGCTGCAGAGCTGAGATGTCCATGTACAAGCTGAACCTTGATTCTTCTACTTCGAAGAATGATCCAGGATTCTCGTACATTATGCAAACTGGTTTCTCTTCTACTTTATTCTCTAGCTTTGGTATTCATTGGCTTGATTTCAAAGGTAGTGTACACTGGGTCTTGGGCTTTTTTCTTTGAAGCAGCAAAATTTGTATTCAAGTAAGATGCATTTCATTCTGTTCTGTGAGTAAACGTTCAACCAAAGTTCTGGAAATCCTCTTAAACTAATTACATTTTATAATCCTTTAATGCTTCTCCACAGAATTCCCTGGCACACGCTTCCATTTTCACTCCTAGGCCACTTTTAAATTTCTCTTCCTGCAGGTAGTCCTCATGACAAAAATGGCTTCTGCAAATGCTATAGACAGTGTCTTCAGAGCTTTTTGCTAAATGTTGAATGCTAAATATAGAGGTTATAAGGTTATTGTATCTCTCCCCCCTTTGATCAGATGTAAAGGGAGGTGGTAGAAACCAACCTGCCTCATAAAAACAGAGCTCCATGGGTGCATGATGGCAGAGCTACAGCGGTGCAGTTGTTACAAGAGCAGATGTACTGAGTCAGTGTCAAGTTTTGTCTCGCTGTATTCTGTCTTCTAGAGCAGCAAATAGTGATGGTGGAGGATGGAGTACTGGAATGGAGGGAAGGAGTGTGGAGTGGTATTTTCCCAACCTATAGTGTCCCCTACGAATAAAATTTAGAAAGTAGTAAACATTTTCCTCATTTTTGTAGGATCTCACCTTTTAAAGACCTCTTTATTACTTAATAGTATCCTATATTCTACTCTCTGTCTGTGCTGGCATTTCGTTGTTTCTGAAATATTTGGGTACTGTGCACTCGCTCTAAATCTCGAATGTAAGTTCTTCAGATAGCCTCCATGATGGCTGCGAACACTGCAGCTTTTCGTTGCATCTCTTCCTTTCTTTTTAGTAAGTTTTCCTCATTTTTATACTGTTCTTTATTAATGTTAACTGCTACTAGAACAGTCTTTTCTGGAAGTAACTGCTTCTGCAAAGATGACGAGTCTATAAGAATCGGTGCTGGAGCGATTCTTGAAACAGATGCTATATCTTTGTCGAGACCAAGGGAAGAGCTGCTGCTGAGTAGTAGCTTGCATCTTCTAATATAGCTGTCCCTGTTCTTAAGTCTTATGCCAGCTCAGGAGTGAGTATTTAGGTTACACAGTAATACACTGCACAGTGCTTTTATCTTGATGGGGGTGCTTTTTTTTTAATATCGACTTTTGAGCCTATTAGTTACAGTTATTTCTTCTCAAAAGATGGAAGGTTATTGAAGCTGATGTCCTGGAAAGATGTAAGATGCTTAGGAGCATCCCTGGCACATAGTTAATAGCATCGTGGTGTTTTTTTCTTTAATTACATTGTTTATAAAGGTGAGAAGCACTGGTAAGCAGCATGGAGAATTGAAACCTTCTCATTCTTTACACAGATCAAGTACAACACAGCTAGTAACGAAAGTTGGAGTGCATCTCTACCAAGTTCTGCAGTGTTGCTTCAAAAAGCAGTCGTGTTTCTGATGTGTTCATTTTTTAGTTTCCCCCCCGGGTTGACTGGAACCAACCACATTATTTTACAAAGATCAGGAGGTTCCTGTACGGTCAGTGGTACCTTTCCTCGCTTGATGCGGGTTATCTGTGCAGCAGTGACAGCAGCTGTGCTTGCTCTGGCAAGGCGGGGGCTTTCGAGGTGTTGAACATTGATGGCACGCAGGAATTAGCTGCATGGTGGACTCCCTTTCTTGACAATAGGAGTCGCTTGCCTAGCTATCTATGCATAATCAGTTGGAAAACATATTTTTGAATAGCTTGTCAACTTAACACCCCTGTTTAAATTGTCAATTCCCTGCAGTTTTCCCCACTGGTAGCAGCCTTGGTATTGATACAACTGTGACACGCTGAGTGTAATTTATGAAAATCCAAGTGAGATGATGACTGCAGTATATAGCACAGTAACTTTTAACTTCCTTGGATGAAGATGTTATTGTCCTAAGTTTGTTGAAAGAAAATCTTTTTAATGCCTTCCTATGTGCCTGTTTTCTACATTTCAGTAGTTGTTCAAGGTAGTGAACTAAAGCTTTACTGATAGCTAATTTAGGATTTGTATATTCCTTATTTGTACAAAAGACTTTAAGTGTTTCTCTTTTCTTTTTTTTTCCCCCCGCCTTGAAGAAATGAAAATTTAGAAAGGAATTTGCTGAATAAAGAAGATGGGAGCAAATAGCAGCAGCATCAGCGAGCTTCCAGAAAATGAGTACTTAAAAAAATTATCAGGAGCAGAGCCCATCTCTGAGAATGACCCGTTCTGGAATCAGCTGCTGTCTTTTAGCTTTACCACTCCAACAAACAGGTAAGATGGTGCTTGTTGAAGAACTAAACCTTGATAATATATTTATAGAGATGTTAAGTCTGAAAGCAAATGATGAAATTTTTTTTTTTTTTTTTTTTTTTTTTTTTTTAAACAACCCCGACCCCA